CATACAAAATAGTAAACTGAGGCATAGGCCATGGCCCGGCAGGTCAACAGTGGCAGAAGCATCTGGACAGGGCCTTGGGAAAGCAGGAGCAAGGGCAGCTGGCACTGAGTCACCAGGGCGTTAGCATTCCAGGACACAGGGACCCACCTGGGGTGCTGACTCTGCTAGGCAGGCGCTCTAGGTGGCTCCTGTCTCCGGCCAGGGTTTCCTTACATGCTGGCCATGGCTGTGGCCTGGTCAGGGCAGTGTTTATCCTTATCAAGAGCAACAGCCGCAGAGCAGACAGGCTTGGCCCATTGAAAAAAAAAAAAACCTGGGCCTCAGTTTCCCCACCTATCAGCTTTGGACAGACTCAACTAGACAGAGGAAAAAAAAAAGAGTGAACCCTACACTGGTGGCCCCTCCTCTCTACCCTACTCTGCCGCTCAGGGGAAGCCCCAGCCCCCCCCCCTCCCACCCCCAGGCCTGTGCTCCTGCCAGAGTCCCTGTGCTCTTCACTCCTTCTGGGCTTGTGTTACTGAGCAGTTGCCATGGATACTGGTCTCAGCTTCCCTGGCAGAAAAGGACTCCCCCAGGGCAAAGCTCTGCTTCTGCTCACCAGCCCCCATGCTGCCCAATTCCAGGTACCCAAGCTGAATCAAAGGAATAGAAAATAGGTCTCCGGAAGGGAACAGGTGCCCCAGAGAAGTTCTCAATTAGTCATTCACCAGCTGGGCCTAGATCCAGGAGCACGATGCTGTCACCTTACCCCTCCACTCTGCTCCCATTCTACAGATGGAAGCATGGGAGTGGGGCAGAGGGGAGGGGGTAGAGGGAAGGGCAGGAGTGCCTCTGCACCAGGACACAGGACACAGGACTCAGGACTGTGAAGGGGCTGTGGCCTCACCTGACAGGCATCGTCTCTCGTTGGATCTGCAGCCACAGGTGGGCTTTGAAAGCAGGGTAGTAGCTGTTCTCCTAATGGGAGACCTGTGCCACATGCCCTAGGGATGATCAAAGGGCCTCAGCTGAATAGAGCTGAAATTCATCTGCCCAGGCAGACTCCTGGCCTGACTGGATCCTAGCAGGATCCTGGAGCTTCTAGGCTGAAAGCATGTGGTATGTCATGTCTACCTGTACCCATCTCCAACCAAAGCTCCCAGGGCTGAGAAGCCTGCTGCCCCGGTATGGGCCATGTGACCTTGAATAAGGGTCTTTGTTCTCTAGATGGCAGCAACCTCATGCCACAAGGAGGTGGGGGAAAGGGTTTAGACAAGGTTTCTGAGCTACCTCAATTTCATCCAACTGAAGCAACATCCAAGAAGAAATAAGAAGGGGAGCTGGGCCCTCCTCCCCAGGTCTGAGGATGGCTGCCCTCAGGGGGTTCTCATGAAGAGGAGGAGAGGCCCTAATTAACTGGATCACCTGGTAGCAGGTGATGCTGGGAGTAAATGCTAGGGCTGAAGCAGGAGTCAGTGGAGTTCCTTGGTGTGGAAGGGAGGAGCTCACCAAGGAGTCAAGGGGCAATCTGAAAGATGCTCTGAATGAGACTGTCATAAGCAATCAAGAAGAGCCAGGGATGAGATGTAGCTCAGTGGCAAAGTGCTTCCTAGCAATGTCCTGGGCTCAATAGAAAGAGAGAAAAGAAAAGAAAAGAAAGAAAGAAAGAAAGAAGGAAGGAAGGAAGAAGGGAGGAAGGAAGGAAGGAAGAAGGGAGGGAGGGAGGGAGGGAGGGATTTAAAGGAAGGAAAGAAAAAGAAAGAAGAAAGAGAAGGAAGAGGAGGAGGAGGAGGACAATGACCACGATGATCGATGATGAAGAGGAGAAGCCTTCTGGACAGGAGCACAATTTGAACCTCTGATAAAAGGAAAACAGCTAACATTCATTGAGCTCCCTCCGGCATCATGGATGCCCTCATGTCCCAGGGTTTGGACACATCCTCATTCAATCCAAAGCACTCAGAGGTGGAGGGGGCATCATCCCACACAAAGCACACACATCAAATAAGCAAAACTCCTGACTCTGGCTCCCAGCCACAGACTGGACCTACCCTGTCGCTCCAGTGACCCCAGCCATGATGACTGACATGTGCTGCCACAGTGAATCATACACCAATTTCAAAGACTGCTTGAAAAAGAATGCAAAATACCTAAAAAAAATACATTTTATACCAAGTACATGTTCAAATATATTGGACAGATTGAGCTAAATATATCATTAATGACTTACACATTTTTTTAGTTTTTTTTAATTTGGCTATCAGAACATTTTTAAATGAATGTAGCTTGTATTATATTCCCTTTGAACAGAGAGTTGATCTGTATGAAAAACTGAAATGTAGAGGATGGATATAGAGTACGCACTCTCCCATCATTTCATATAAGCACCAGGGCCAGACTGTGAGTTTCTCAGAGGCCAGGTAGGCATAAACATCAAGAGTGTCAGTGCTGGTGCCAGTGGTTCATGCCTATAGTCCTAGCCTGAGGTCTGAAGATTCGAAGCCAGCTCAGGCAGGAAAGTCCATGAGACTCTTATCTCCAAAAATTCAAAAATGGAGCTGTGGCTCAAGTGGTAGAACACCAGCCTTGGGCAAAAAGGATAAGGGACAGCAATCAGGCCCTGAGTTCAAGCCCTACTACTGGCATGAACGTATGCACGCGCATGCACACACATGCACACACACACACACACACACACACACACACACACACACACAAAGGTGTGTGGGAAATTGAGTGTCTGCTTTCCCACCTCTGTCCCAGCTAGGCCAACAGGCAACAGATGGACTCAGTTCCTGACATAAAACATATCAAACCATAGCAGTTGCCACAGATAGTAAATATTCCCAAAAGCTTAAGTTGGGGATAAGTGGAGGCGAAGTGGGATGGGGAATCTATCATAAAGAGAGGGAGCCATGCCTATCCGGAGAGGAAATTCAGTGCATGCTGTGTTGGGTGGAGCATAAGCCTGACCCTGGGCAGGACAGGGAGTGATGTACAGCCCAGGCAGTGTTTGCCCAGGACTTTCCGGGCCTTCCTCCCTACTGCTCCCCACCCACCCCCAATTCACCAGAAATGTGCTATCTTACCTCCCATTCTGACAGTCTGACCAAGTAACGGGACAGATAAGCAGCTGACCTCCCCAGTCCCACCTCTCCCCACTGCCCCTGGCCATCAGTTCTCCTAAGAGCCTCAGAGGCAGTAGTCTGGTGCTGGAAAAAACAAGCTGGAAAGTGTGACTGCAGCAGAAGCAGCGCAATCACTCGGGAGCAGGGTGGGTGAGGAGGTCTCCTCCCAGACGGAGACTTACGATGAATCTAATACCAACTCGGATGGCCACCTTCTGGGCCACCCATGGTCACAGAATCCTAGTGTGCACTGCTCTAGGTTCCTTGTACTCTCTGACTGTTCCACACAGGGTAGCGCTTACGCTCCCAGATCCCATCAACACAGTACCTGCATGTCAGGGGTTGATGCACCTGGGGGAAGGCAACACTCCTGCTCTCCAGAGCAATGAAAGAATCTCTTGAAGAGAGCCTTGCCCAGATACTGAATCACCAGTACTGATTCCCAACCTACCCCACTGGTGGAAGGGAAGGAGAGCCAAGGGGCTTTGCAAGCAAGAACTAAAAGGCATTGGCCTCTCATCAGAGTTTTTCTCTTGCACTTGACACAAAACTCCATGAAATAGGATAACTGAGGCTCACAGATAGTCTATGTCAGAGTTCTTTCCCAATCACCCCCAAAGTTCTCTTGCTGTTTAGAGTCTATTCAAAATCCTGTTCTCATTCATTCTCATTCTCCATCAGTCTCTCTGTCTTTGTCTCTTTCTCTATTTCTATCTCTCCTCTGTCTGTCCCTCCTTGACTCCTTCTTTTCTCTCCCCCACCCTCTACTCCTCCCACCCTTTCTGGTGGTAGGTTCTAGGACAGCATGGCAGGTATCCAGAGCTGCTCTCTCCACAGGAAGCTCCCACTGATGCCAGCCTGGCTAGATTTCTTTCCTCCCAAGGCTGCATCATTCCCAACCAGGGGCAGCTCCATCCGGGACACATTCTTACCTAGTGAGCCCTGAGAAGTCAGAGAGGAAGGGGTGGTAGAATAGAATTCCAGAACTGTATCAGCCCCAAAAGGCGGAGTTATCCATCAACTCACAAATAGAGAAGGAGATGTAAACAAGCTGAGACCAGCCCAAGGTCACACCCGGAGCACATGCGGACAAATCTGGGACTAAAACCCGGTTATTTTACAGTCCTCCATCCCATTCCTACAATTGACTTCCAGAGATGCTCACCAGAGAATGAGGATGCCCCCTCTTTAGTCCCGGAGGCCTGTGCCCTGTCCCGGCCCCAAGGTCTATAGATCAGGGGGAGGCGTCTTCAGGCCTCTAGCCAGGGCCAGCTGCAAACCGCATCCTGGGTCCCCAGGCGCCGCGCGGACCTGCCCGCCCCTCCCTCGGCTCCCCGCAGGCCCGGGCCTTTGTCAGCCACGCGCTCATGAGCTCGCACACACACCCGCCGCCACGCGCACACTCGATCTCCCGGTGTCCCCGGCGCACACCCGCAAGGGGCGCACACACTCGCCGCACGCACGCAAGGGAAGGGGGGGTGGAGGCGGCTGAGGAAGGAAGGAAGGAACTGATGGGCCATGGACGCTCAGACGGCCTGGGCTTGGGGGGGGAGGGAGGAGAGGCCCGGGAACCGGGGTACGGCGGGAGGGGCGCAGAGGCGAGGACGCAGACACGCAGCGGAGATCCGAGAAGAGGACGGCGGAGGGGCGCTCCTGGGCTGGCGAGGTCGCGCTCGCCGCTCCAGGGACTGGGACTCCGCAAACCTCTGGTCAGGGGAGGGGGCGTCTCTGGGCTGGACCCCTGAACACTAGGGCCCCGCTGGCCCCGCTGTGCCTGCGCAGCGGCTCCCGCGGGACTCTGCACAGGGCTTGGAATAGGGGATCTGAGCCCTAGCTCCCTCGAGCACACCCGAGGGCGGGACGGGCCTGGCCCGGGGGGGGGGGCACGCTCACCTGCCACGGTGTACCTGTCCAGGTAATTGAGCACGTTGCCCAAGCTGAGGATGGCGGCGGCTGCCCCCCGCCCTCGGCCCAGGCTGGCCGGCTTGGGCTGCGGCGTGCCGGGGCCCTTCGCCGCT